ATCGATGTTGCGGCGCTCGGCCGCCAGGCAGCGGACGGGAGGAGAGGTGGCCGGCGGCGGGCGGGAGGTGTCGTCGGGGCGGACCCCGGGTTGGCGCGAGGTGCCCGAGGTCGCCAAAGGGACGCGTGCGAGTTGCCTGAGCTTATTCCCCACCCGAGCCCTCCCTTAAAAAGCCCCTTCGCCTGTGGTGGGCATGGGAAGGGAGCGAGGCAGTCCCTTCCCCCCCGTGTTTTTCAGGTAAAGAACAGAAGGGAAGCAGGAGAAGCATAAGATATTTGATAACAAAGACCAAAAAAAAAAATATAATGAGAGCAGTAGGCAAAGAACAGTTACCACTTCTAAGCGAAGGCAAACACAGCTCTCTGACCCGTGTCCCCTAGAGGTAGAACTGATAAGTTACTAACAAAAATACACTACAGTAAATAAATATTAAGTTAATAGAACCACCGACTCATCTGGCAGATGCTGCCTCTGCATTACACTCCTGCCTGGAGGATCAGCAAGCCCACTGGGGCTAGCTCCAGAGCTCCACAGGGATGCCTCAGATGTAGGACACCAATGATACTACAAAAAAAAATTAAAGTGCTTTATTAAAATATTAACACACACAAATGAGACATGATAGAGTACACAGTGACACATAGTACCGAAGTTCTACTTTCGCAGTTGTTTAATCAGAGGTTGAGCTAGGTTCCATACGATAGTAGAGTCCAGCTGTTCAAGGCGACTTATCTTACAGTTTTTGCTGCTGGCGTATTTGTTCTTGATTGCCTGCAGAGCAATAAGTTTGATTAAGCTCACCCTGTTTATAAACTTACACTCTTCTAGCTCACCTTGGGCTTGGTGGTCAAGCCAAGCCCATACTAGCACACAAGACCAGCTCACGCCCCTTTGGCAAGATAGGGATCTTCAGCTCAAGTGAACAGCTCTGATCCAAATTCAACAGCAGTGGCACAGCTAAGCCAGCTTCTGAGGGCCACATATTGACTCTTAATTGTACATACTCCCCACTCATACCACAAGATGCTTACCACATACTTGGTAATGCCCTCATTCACAAGAATGACGTTCTTTGCTATGTGCTGCATAACTGGGAGAAGGTCATTCTCAGTGTAAGACATGTAGTGTTGCAGAGTTGGTGTCTAAAAGGAAGGGAAGTCATTAGACAAGCCTATTAGCACAATCCAAATACACTGGGTTATTTGTCTTCTCTTAGGCTTGAGCAATTGTGGCCTCCTGCCCTACTTGTATCCCCTTGCAACAGGCCATGGGGAGACAAGAAAATGCCAAGATACCATGAAAGAAGCAGGAGGCATGCCCTTGGCCCAGAGTGGTATTTTAAGCCAGTGCACGGGTACACCAAGTCCCAGAGGAGGAGGTGGTCTGAAAAGCATGACTTACCCACTCACACCCATCAAGGAGTTTCAGAGCCAAACAGGAAGCAGCTGAAGCTGTCTTGGATGGGGGGAAGTGAACCATATCATAGTCCACAATGGACAATTCCATAAGGTACTTGGCCAGAATGTGCTGTTCCAAGTCCACCTGCAGTTAAGTCAGAGTTGAGTATTGGCTATCTCCAAAGCAAGAGCATCCTGTCAAGCCTTTGTTTAGTCAAGCATGAAAAAAATACTTCTTGGCAAACATTTTCAGGGCTAAGGCTTGGAATTCAACTGGTTTCATCACAGAGTATTAGGCTGCTTATAGTCTATGACCACTCCTTTCAGTGTCAAACAAGTGGTCACCTGCAGTACCAGGCAGGTGTTTTAACTCTACTTTTGGGTGGTCTAGGCTCACAGGACTGGAAGCAGACAAGACCTGTTTCTACATGGGAGCTGGGTCTCAACCAGGCTCAGTTACCAAGCTGTTGCAGTACTCAAAAGTTGTGAACCATTTTAACCAGCTGCCAGAAACAAATACTGCATTTTCCAGATGCTGCTTACAGTAACACCTGTTCTCAGCATTACCTCTGCAATCTTTGAAGCCCTCCTTAGGAAGTGCGGAGGGAGCGGGCGACCCAGATCAAAGTCCAGGGCTCGCAGGATCTTCATCTCCATCTGGCAGATCTGAAACTTTGTGTAAGTGTTGTCTGTCACATAGGCAAAATCTCCAATATGTGGGGGATAAATTTCTTCATATTTGCTGGCAACAAACATTGCTGTGACACCAACCAGCTGCAACACCTCCTTAGTAACAGCATTGTCCTGCAGTAAGAAGCAGTAGAGATTTATGTGAGTGACTTGGCTCAGAACACAGCTTTTCAAGGTAGCCAGCGTAAGGTTAGTTCTATGGCAGGGTGTTCATACTGGCATACAGAATAACCATACGTTATCTGTTACCTCTGTTGGTATTTATAAGGCTTTGAGATCAAGCCAGGGAGAGGAGTAAGCAGTTTTGATAGATCAAGTCACTGTTCACAGCTGAGAGGGTTATGTGGGGCTTACAATTCAACAAATGCCCTTTGTCAACTGTATTTTGTTAAGGGTAACATGTCTAACCATGTATGGTGTTACTGATTGGTGCTCATTGTGCTTTAGCTTCGGGGAAAAGCATTGCCTGACACCATGCAAGAGATACTCACCTGCAGAAAGCGATCGATGATAGCAACTGCCATGTACAAGGTCTCCTGCTGGAGTCCGAATTTTACCTGTACTTGCACAAGCCAGTCTATCAGTATGGCACGCATATTCCCATTAATTTCCTGGCCGGCTAGGTATTTAGGTCTGACAGGTTGATTTTCCTGTGTGGAAGGAATAGGGTTAACAGATTCATTCACTTAGCTGAAGCATTTGCAATGCCTAGCCTCTGCTGGATCTTAAGGCTTATCAAAGCACAGCCCCTAAGCACAGGCTACAAGGTTTCTTTGTTCACTGGAGAGGGGCTAAAAAGAGCGCAGTACTAGTACGGCTAGTCACTTGGTCTAACAGCCATCATCAGTTTATGTTATCAGCTCAGTTTAATCTATTTTAAGTAGAGGGATCATTTAGTAGCACCTCAGGAAAGCGAATACCAGCTCCAAGTCATGCCTATGGCAGCAGGTTCGCCATAAGCGTCAGCAGAATGCCCTTGCAGTTCTGACCTACTCCTACCAACCTCAAGGCTTCTCAGGTACTTGTAGATGTCCTTCACATAGTCACTGCAGAGTTTTGGGTCAGCACCATCTTCCGCATCTACATCTTCCACATCAAGCAGGACATCAGAAAAAGCCTGACACAGCACATCCTCCGATGCGGTGCATCCAGATATGTCCATGGGGACTGGAGACTGAGATTCCATCTACAAGGAAATCGGGGATCAGGGTGGGCAGCACCTCTGCAGCCTAGCATAGGCCAAGCAAAGGCTGACATGGGGCAAACTGCACCCAGCAGCCCTGCAGTGTGGGAGCGCTGCAGGCCATGGGGCAAACTGGACCCAGCAGCCCTGCAGTGTGGGAGCGCTGCAGGGGCTCGCTACCCCATTTCAGGGGACCAGTGAGGCCATGCCTCTCCCCCGCACCCCAATCCCAGCCCAGCTCCGTCACAGGGGCAGCTCAGGCCCGGGGTGGGAGGGGGCACATGGCCCCAGGGAGGCCAGGGGCAGTACCTGGGGGGGCTCCGGCTGAGGCTCTGGGGCAGGAGGTGGCATGTTCTCCTTGGTGGTGGACCTCAGTGTCCTTCTGGTACCCAGGGAGGGGGCAAGTGTGGGCCTGATGTCCGGCTGCTTCCTGCAGCCCCGCTCCACCGACACCTTCTTGGCAGCAGGCTGCTTCTTCGGCTCGGCGACGAGGTTGCCGATGTCCTCCAAGGCGGCGCGGGAGCGGACCCCCAGCTTGGGG